AAAAAAAAAAAAAAAAATGAAAAAAAAACAGATCCACACAGAAGTGAAAAGACGATACTTGCTTGATTTTTACTTCATCACAATTTAATTTCAAGCTTCTAGAGTAATAAGAGATTAAACAACTACATGATGAGCGACACAAAGAGGAACATCACCAACAACAAATGAATAAAGCCTGAAAACCGACACAAGGATTAAACACATCACGCAAAACCCCTTTTTCTGCGATTAATAATTTACCCGGCAGACAAAACAGTACGCATTTAGCATACGTTATAACTAACCAAACAAACAGAACTGCTACTATAATGGCTGCAATTGAAACAAGAATAAGAGATAGCGAAAAAATAAATAAATAAATAAATAGATATCTGAAAGAAAGAAGAAGAAGAAGCAAAAGGTCAACCCAAGTCAGAATTTCAAGAAAAACAAAAAAAAAAGCATAAATTTTAACATCTCCAACAACCAAGAATCCTAATTATGGGATCGCAGAAAAACAAGGCTTTATTCGAATATCGGTGTAGCGAAAATACCGGTAAAAGTTAGCACGGATACAATCTTGCATAAATTAAACACCACTAACGCCGAAGTACATCACCTACTTCCCATCACTTTGTTTACAACATGCAGACTTCAGCATAATACGAATTATATAAATATACATACTATGTACATATATGAAACAAAAATGTTGTTCAACAAGATAATAAACCGGTGGAAAAAGTGCTTTTTAATATACGCTTTCTTTTAAGCGCCTAAATAAGGAAAAAAAAAAGTTTAGGAAGTAGACGACCTCATAAGGAAAAAAGCAATTCAAGAGAAAGAGGGTTTATTAATTGTGTCATAAGAGTTGTTATGTAAAAAATCTTTCAAACGATAAAAATGAAGGAAAAACGCCTCCTTTTTTCTTGTAAAACACCGAAATGACAAAGAGATAAAAAAAATGAAAAAAATGTTGGTGCCTACTTTCAATTACGGTTTCTGGCGTTGTAGTCTCCCTCCTGTAAACTAGTCGCAGCCACTGATGTCCGTATATGTCTAGTGCTGCTGATGCTGTTCCAGTGGTTGCCGCTATCGTCGTCGTTGCTGTCGCTTTTTTCCGTTGCAGTAGATGTTGACGCTCCCACTGCGACGTCGTCCGCCGGTACAATCTGTCGCTGTCTGGTGCTGATGCCCCTGGCGGTGGTGGTAGCGGTGGTAAATAATAGTGGTGGTTGTGCTGAGTTGTGGTGGCGGTAATGGTGGACATTTCATTCATACGGCCAAACAATTTAGACATTGTTCAGTCGGGTAAAGTTCGTCTGCTGACCGATATCCGTTTCAGCGCTTTTTTGGCAGCAATACACGTTGTCGTTTTCTCGCTTCGGTTGTTTTCATAAATCCACGGTCATTTTTGGCTTGGTACCCAAACTTAAATTC